TGGAAACACGTCAACATTGTTATCACTGAGCGCTGGAGCTCACAAGGTTTCCGCGACGCTTGGCAACACGCTATGATCGCTGCTTGTGCAGTCCTAAACACACAAAATGAACTGAAATCAGTTGATCTCACACGATATTTATGCGAGACTAGGAAGCACGGATGGGAAGCTGCCTAGCATGGCAGTGCAAGAGACGAAGTGCGTCTGGTATCTCGCGTATATGGAAAATTCGAGAGCATGAGCACTATAGACGTCACGAGAATCACTATTTCCGTTACGAAGTGCGCGGGGAAGATAATATTTCCCTGGAGAGAATAGGGGGCTCGTTTTTTTCTGTCTCTCTTTTTATATTTTTAGAGGATGGTGAGTGACTCTTTAAAGTATCCTTGTATAGCGAGTTTTCTCAGTGCGAGTAACGACTGGGTGAAGGTATAGACGCAGAGGAGACAAGAACACACCCCACCCTTGTGTCCTGTGTGTCTATCTATGTCAGTCATTCTCCCCGCTCGGGAAATTCCAGGTGCACCAACAAACCCTCTTGAACAAACTTATTCATAGCAACTTACATTTACTAAGTGAAGCGAATGTGTGGAGAAGCTTTCCAGGTGACATCCTCGATCTGTCGAACGATTTGCAAGTGGTAATCTAAATATTAGCAACGGAGCATATGTTTTTCACCAATTATTTTATCTGGAATGTTTTGCTTACAAATCCGCCGCGGTGGATGAGGGGTCATAGTTAGTCTGCTGCTAGCTGCAAGGTCACGGGTTCGATTCCGGCAAAGGTAACCCCATTTCAGTGAAGGCGCAATGGTAAGGCTCAGGTATTATGAGATGTCAGTGCAGGTTAAAGAACACCAGATTGCCCAAATTTCCACTCCGCTACTGTGTCCCTCATGCTCATGCCATGGTTTTGTAACGTAATGATCCAAATAATATTATTAGTGACACGTTTGCTTATTGCACTTATGAAAAATAAGTACGCAAATGTGTTGAAATGAGAATACCACTATTCGTCTGGTAGCCTCAACGCAATACGTAAGCCATTGGTTGTCTATCGGTTAGAATACTTTCTGCTCTTATCTAGGGCTTTCATGGTGTAACATTTTCATGTATTCTCCGCACAGTGGGGGAAAAGCCGTGACGAGAAAGCTCTGTCTCGTACTTTTATTTATTGTGCATGAGACGTCCCGGCAAAGTGAGTCTGTTGTCTTGCCTTGAAACCTCGACAAGACCAGCATCTTAGCTCCAGCCTGTGGCACTCCTGCATCGAAGATGTGCCTGACAGGCAGCCCCTGTCGCTTCGCGCCCGGACTATTTAGCTATTTATTTTGACGCACACCCGTTACGCCTACTCACATTTCTAGACGTCAATGTCAAGGGCTCGTGTCGCGAGATTATCTAGACGAAGAGAGCATCTGCAAGCGTTCTAGAGACGTCGGAAAAATAGGACGAACACCATTCAAACGGTAGGCAAAAATACAACAAAATATTCTAAAAAGAAAACAACACTGAATGTTTATTCAGTTCCACCGCTCTAACTGTTCTGCATTCCTGAGAGGCAAGCGTCTGTGTAAAGAACGGAAAAACGCAAAATTGTGTAAAAACAAGCAAAAATATCATCTCGTCGACAACGGGGGACTGAAAAAAAAAAACATCAAGAAATGTGCTTAAACTCGACAGACTTCGCCATTTTTGAGTTTTGACAGATGTCTCCAATTCGTGAAAAAGAAAACAACCAAGTGAGAATGCGAGCAGCAGCGCTTAGTTCTAAGCTCTACAATCACTCCTTCACGGTTCGCGAACCATTTTCAGTCACAATCACGGTCGCTAGGGCAAATTATAACCGTCAGTACACTTTCGCCTGTGGCCAAATTAAGCTCGTCGTTTGTACGTTGGGACGATCCAATTCATTTTGCCCGTTTCGCGTCAACTACGCTTGGATGCTATTTGAACGGTGAAGCAGGTTGGACAATCAACGCTTCACGTAGTCCTTATAATACCATGAAATGCAACATGGTTTGCCAGGCTCATCCGAAAAATATATCACCATTACGTTTTCAGGAAAGTCTAAACAGCAATGCCTAGTCGTCACTTTCGAGCTGAAGTTAGGCGTAATACATTTTAGCCGCGTCTGTAGACGAAGTCAAACGCCCCGTGCTGCGGCTGAATGGGTGAACTGCATTGAGACATTCTCTCCTTTCGCAGCACGCCATCCATTCACATGCAGCTGCCAGAAACTACTTTGGTATGTCCACGGGCGCGAAGATGCCTGCGAGTGCGTGTAGAATTCACAAGCAGCAGTCGCGAGTACTAGAATATTAAAACGCCGTAGGGAGCCCACGATGCCTCAGGACGCACTTTCTGGGCAAGGCGAAAATGTCGTTTCCGTCACTTTGTGCGTCACTGCGAACTGCACAGGAAGAAGCGAGAGAAACAGCCTACGGGCATGCACTCCAGGAGGGAAAACAGGTACGCCAACGCCACCAGAAGCAGGACCTGCCTTTGCGTGCGACTTAAAAACTTTCACAGGGCTGGCGTACGAATCTTGTCTGTTGTTATTCAGGACAGCTGGAGCACTGCCTGAGCAAATCTACATTGAAAACGCGAATCATACTGGGTGACGTGTTTTCAGAAAGGCACGCATATGCATTACACAAAGAAAGAGGAACGAAAAAAAAAAAGTCACAACGAACGCGCACGCCTTCTTGAAGCTACAACACCTTGCTGTCAACGACTCATCGACATGACAGAAGAAAATGCACGAGCAGAGATAGGAAACTCAAGAAACAAATAAATATTGCCTTAAAATCGCAATGACTGTTTGTTACGACATTTCTCCAAAAGTGCGTCACTCTTTTGGCATGGGCGTTACCTCGAATTTCCCTTGGGTTTGTATGCGAATGTGCTTTGCTATAAAGGATGTGTTCCAATTCTTAGACAGCACGTAGGCAGTCTGCGCAGACTCCTTAGAAGACAGCTCCGAGCCCATGCTGTCAGAAAATTAAAACACGTCTTGACGGTTTTTACGCGGCGAAGTGCCATCTCGCATCGAGAAAAAAAAGCCAAAATAACATTTGTGTTTTCTGGCTCATTTCGTGTTCAAATCTAAAATAAACGTTATTCACATTGAGCTTCTGAAGAAGCGCCTGCTTGTGTGCAGACGACCATTCCGGTGAGATCTGATCTATCTAAGCGATTCGCTGAGCCGCCATCATGTGTAGACAGCAAAGTAGCCTGCATCGTATTTGTCTCTGATGCGGTCTTCTCGGAGCTGTCTACTTTGCCGGCTATGTGAAAACTGCAAGCGGACTTGAGATGGCAGCCGTCCATTTAGCTGTCTATTTGGCCATCTACGGTGAGTATTGGAACACGCCTAAAGTGAAGAAGCGCGAACGTTACGTCTTCGAGCGGGAGAACATAGAATGAAGTCAAAATGTTTATCAAACAACTGCCTAAGACGAGTTGCAGGCAAAGGCGCTCTTCTCCTCAGTCCTCGCTCCCCGAGCAAAAGATTTCTGTATCCACCATCATCTCGCAATGTCTCCAGGATACGGCCACATCTGACCAAGCCATGATGCCACTTGATGGGCCGTGACGTGATGGGCCGTCACGTTATATCACACCACGCGACGGCATAGCTACGTACTGATGACGTCAGAATGACGTTCTAAATTTACGTGACCCTTTGACGTCTTGATAACATCATGTTGATGTCTTCCCGTGACGATGTCTTTTTTCAGGGGGGGGGGGGGCGGATTCTCCCATGTTGAAACCGGCGTAGACAATCACATTTTTACATTTGACTAGGCATTCAAGGCTTTCGCCTTCATACATGCGTGCGTGACTGCACACATGAATATGAAGAAAGCAATAGGATGAGCCTCAGGGGAAAGAAAAGCTGCTGTGCAATACCAATCAACGGTAGAGGGACGGGATATTCTAATTGGCGTTAGTTGCTAGAGAGAAAGCAGGGCGTGTAATCGTAAGTAAGAACAGACACTGTTGGTTTGTTTGATTCGCGCAATGGTGACAACAGATCGTAAATGCCGTTGCAGCAACCTTTGTCACATGTTGTCAACATTGCGCAATACTTAATTTAGTTACATTTACTCCACTCCTGATAATTAAATATGTAAACATCCTTAGGTACCGTGCCGTTCGAGAAGACAAGCCGCCGTGAAATGGAGGCTGCACTAATCCATCGAAGACCGTACTTGTAGCAGCCGCAGTGAACTTATTTTAAAAAAGAGGGCTCACGTCGATACACTAAAAACTGATTCATACAACTGTTTAACAAATACGCGTGCAGCGAGAACATAGAGAATACGTAAGGCAATGAAAGAACACTGAGTCAGGATCAAAATAGCGTAGCCTGACTTAGCCTACCTAAGTAGCGCGTTCCTATACAGACAAGGAAATCGCCATTAGCAGCGGCTACCAACATCAGGTACAAATAGCGCCACCTTCTACTTTTTGCACATTCTGTGTGCTTGATTGCCTGTACATTGTTCTTATAGCGCTTCGCCAATAACCTAGCGCTAAGATGGTGCAAATCACCACAGCTGTGTACTGGCCATTGCACTGATAAGCATTGAGTTTGGAGCGAGATATAGGCGGCACACTGAAAATAACCACCTGACTTTGATTGTTATTAAAGACCCCATCATCGACCACAACTAGAGTTTTTGCCCTATCAAAACGTGTTCGTGCATCACGGGCCCCTTGTTTTCCTATACCTAACATGGTAAGCTACGGAAGGAAAAAGTACCGCATATTTTTGAGTAAGTGGTGATGTGTACCCTCATTTGAATGGGGACGCATAAAAAGTTTTTTTTTTTAGTAGCCGAGAGGCTCACACTGGAGATGCTGCTTTGCACTTGCATAATATGTATCACAGCCGCGCGGTGGCACGCGTGCTTTTGGTGCATGACGTCAGGCGCACACGACAGCGGTTTTGCGTCATTGCGGCTTCTAATAACAGTTTTAGCTATCAGCTACAGCTGGGCCCTTATGATTATCCATAAAGGCCGCGAGACGAACAGGAGATAAAACAACGTGGAATAGCGAGAACATACGGCGGAGTATTTCCTACTTCCGTGAAACGCACTTAACGACTAAGAGTGGAATATTGACATAAATTGACGTTTGACTGAAAAGCGGAATCACTAACTAAGTTATCAGCCAAGCATTATCTAAACAGCGTGTTGGACATGCGAAAATCTCACCTTAATGTCCGGAGGATTGACGACGCCGCGCCTCTTGAAGAAGCTGCGAAGCGATCCCGACATGGCCGTCATGAGGACGTCGTTGAAGGTGCTCCGCGTGATTTGCTTGATGCGGTACACCTGCGACAGCAATACCAGCAGTTATAGCTGAATAAATTCACGGCCCGCCACCGATGCGAGGACTCATGACCAGTGCTGCAACGCCGACGCTAATGGGTAATGGCTTTATTACGTGCTGGTTTTAAATAACGTTAGCGCCAAACAATGGAGCCCTCAAGATTTTCTTCGTTCACTTCAGTCAGTATTTTTATGACATCTCGTTTTCACTTCTTGGCCCTGTTTGAATTAACCAGTATATAAAAGCCAATTCTAACAATCATCAACAACGTTTTCGCTTCATCATCAACATCAGCATACGTTATGTCCACTGCATCAGTTAAGCCTCTCTCACTGATATTCACTGTACCATTAGTGCACTGGTTGATACCGTTTTATGGCTGTACATGTTCTTTTTCGTCTCTTCACACAACCATTTGCCATAAGAATTTTCAGATAGGATGATAGAACAGCTGAGACAACAAACAAAGATAGCTAACGTCGTAGCAGGAAACTAACGACTTTGGGCAGGTTACGTCTAGAAAGAAATAAGTGACCAGTAGTAATTAAGCAAACAAATTTACACTGAATCGGCTCGTTTTTCTTCTTAGACACAGTATTATTGGCATCTAACAGACAATCATACCAAGAAAAGCATAAGGCATGTTATTAGAAATAATTGTAATACATATCAGAAGAAATAAAGTTGACGAGGAGATAAGATGTTGTGGGCAGGGTCCAAGCCTTCGACCTTCGAATAAGGCGTTGGATATTCTACCAACTGAGCTAGCATGGTGGCTATCTCTCCGTTCACATTATGGGGTATGTATGCGCAATAAACGTCGGACTGTTAGTCAGCGCCACCAGCAGCCATGACATGTGTGTGGCACACTCTTTCGCTGCCTGTTTGATGCAACGTAAAAAATGAACTTATCACGATCCGGAAGGTAACCAATAATCCCTCGAAAACTACCTGAAGGCGCCAAGTCTGCCAGATCGAGACCCTCGCTATGAATGAAGAAAAGAAAGGTCCATTTATGGGCTGGTTTTCTTTGTTAGACACAGTATTATTAAGATCTAATGAAGAACGATACCATAGAAATAACAGGGAATGTTATTAAAGTGATTCCAATTTAAATGTTAAAAATGAAAATTAGACGAGAAGATAACATATTGTGGGCAGGGTCAGAACCTTGGACCTTCGAATAACGCATCCGACGCCCTACTAACTGAGCAACCACAGGGGCTACCCCCCCCCCCCCCCCGTCTATATTATGGGATATGTTTAAGCCTAAATGTGAACTTCTTTCCTTCGTTCTTAGTAAGGGTCTCGTTCTGGCAGACTTGGTGCCTTGTAACGCAAAAAATTTCTGGTCACCTCTATTTTCAGCTACTAACGTTGAAACTCAAAGCACGTTTCAAGTTTTTTTTTTCAAAGGTAAAAAAATTTCTCTCCAGTTTTTCGTATAAAAGAAACGTGCGTTAGGTTCAAGAAAAGCTTTTACAGCTTTATGCAGCTCAAAAAAAATTTTCCTCAAAATATTTCACCAAATGAAAGAAGGAAACTGTAGCAAATTAGCGGCCTATTTTCTAAAGGTCTCTTGCTCAGCAATGCTATTAAGGCACATGGGTGGACGAAACCGGATGTCAAGGGCCTGTGTTAGTAAACACTGAAAGGGTCCATGCCATTGATTATTACCCAACTGCCAGGTAAAAAGACTTTCACACCCTACGTAACGCCGACCTAGGAGATAGTGTTCCACACTCGTCATCATGGTTACTGGTGAACCTAACTAAGGGCCCTTCGTTTAATGCGCATACATACCCCATTAAGTGGACGAGTAAATAGCCGCCATGGTAGCTGAGTTAGTAGTGCATCAAGCGCGTTATTTGAAGGTCGCAGGCTCGGACCCTCCTCACGGAATGTTATCTACTCGTCTACCTTTAATTTTTCGCATGTAAATTAGAATTACTTTACTAACAATTCCTATTCTTTCATTGGCACGATAGTTTGTCAGATCTGATTATTACTGTGCTTAAAAAAAGAAGAGCGCTCAAATGTACACTTCTTTGATTCATTCATAGCGAGGGTCTTGATCTGGCAGACTTGGTGCCTTCAGATAGTATACGAGGGATTATAGGGACTTGCCAGATCGTAATATGTTCCTTTTTTACGTGATGCCAAACAGACAGAAAAAGTGTGTTCCACACTCGCCGTGATGGCGACTAATGGTGCTTACCAACGCTCCCACGTTAATTTCCCCTACATACCCCATATTGAGGACGGAGGGATAGCCGCCGTGGTAGCTCAGTTGGTAGAGCATCAAACGCATTATTCGAAGGTTACAGGTTCTGGCCGTGCCCACGGCACATTATCTTCTCGTCCATTCTTCTTTCTTTACATTTGCTGTACAATTACTTCTAATACCATCCCCTCTATTTCTCTCTACATAATTATATGGTAGATTCATCATTACCCTAGTAATTAACAGGACGTATTTTGTTAGCTTAGTGCCACTTTACCTCCCTGTTTCTTTCTGACCATTTCTGGGCGCGCTTGCTTTCTTTGGTATCCATTTCGACACTATGTTACCATCACTTATCTGTCCTCATGGTTTCATGTGCTGAGGTTCGTTGTTCCGTACCAGAACATTCAACTATCAATTTGCAATCATGGTCAGCGGCATTAATTTGCGACAAAAGGAGATCACCCATAGGTTATCGACACGTCAAAAAATCACAGCATATGCACGGGGTCAATGATGATGGGTGGGCGAAGCTGCGGACAGAATCATCGATAAACCGTAAGTCTTCCATGTAGCTTGCCCGGTAGATCATCATTTAAAGACGTGAGAAACGCTGTGTGTGTATGCCGTGCCACTTGGGCCTCCCGCTTTCGCACGGCAGGACCTTGGCGGCGGCGTCGCGCCATATGTGATATCATTCGTAATATAAGATCTCGCATCTGTCATCATTAACTAAAAGTACCGCCATCTAATTTTGTAATATCTCGCATCTTTTCATCAACTACAAGTACCGCCATCCAGTGAATACTCACAGTACCGCTATCTACTTTTATAACATCTCACATCTTTTCATCAACTACAAGTACCACCATCTAGTGAACACTGCAAGAACTAAACTAGACGTGGCTATCTACTACTGCAACTACATACCTCAGAGGATGTACAGACCTACACCTTAAGGAGCTTCGTCCTTAAAAAAGAAGCGCGGGAGCAGGAACTTTGGTTCCAGTTTACACACCCGTATCTACCGAGTTCAGCGGCTGGTTTCACTTAGAAGTACTAATAGGGGCCATGGCCTATAGCAGTTGTTGGTATCGATTGGTCGGCGTACGTTCCGGGATAGCCAGCAAAACAGCTTCTTCACTTTGCTATTCTACTTCGGCCCTTTCGTCTTGTTTTTTTTTTTTTGCGACCGTCGCAATTGCCAAAGAAAGCCATCTAAGCAATGCAGCTGAAAACACGAAAAAAAAAAAAAAGGCCGGGCAATGAAGGAGTACTTTTCGCGAGCGACAAAGCCAAGCGTAGACGTCGCCCGGATACTGACGAGACCGGAAAAACCACTAACACAATTTTTAGACCATGCAAACGCGCGCTATGAGGAAGTTGTCAAATTCAGACCGACCAATATATGCACTACAGAGAAAATCATTTGCAGTTTTTCGCAGCACCTTGTCGTAAGTTGTCTACATGAATGATGGCAGGTCAGCATCGCAACCGAAGCCACACAAAGCGTCAGTGTTATGAATCCCACAGATATCGGCTGAGAATGGTTTTTTGTGCTAGTAACAAGCTAGGCAGACTATGTTCACTGGTCGGCAACAAGCTTGATAATGTCGGGACACGCGGTTGCTCCAATAGCTATAAAGTTAGGTTCGTGTCATGCAGAGCCAACGTCGTCTATTGCATCCCTCTGTCATGTGCTCGTGTTTACGCCAGCCAGGCAGGCGAATATAAAGCTACGCAGTTAGAGAGCGTCAGTCTTCTTTGCAGGAGAGACCCTCAACGAACTAGCCCTCCAGTGCGTTGAGTGGTGGTGTGGAGCGCATTTCTCTATGACGGTGATCTTATTGAGACACCACGACCGCACGACACGAGAACTTGCTGAGGATTTCACAGACGCGGGCTTCCATGTGTGTTAGTAACTTTTTTTGGCCTTACCGGAAGAGAACTTGATACTACTCGAGGAAAAGCGGCAGCCTGTTGGGGGTGGCGGGTGGTGGAAGAGGTGTGTCTTTGTGTTGGTTTTTGCCTTTTGCTTTGACCATGATTTACAGATTATCATACTCCTCGTGATATCGTGGAATGGCGGAAACCTACAAAGGAGACTGCGCGTGTTTTGCGGAAGAGCTCTATAAACTTGAGAAATCAAGGCACACAGACAGACAAAATTTACTATTAATTTTATTCTTAAAGTGTTGCACAGGTTCGGTATTTTCTCCCCCAGACCTTTTAGCAAATGCAGTGCATTTAGCAAAATACACTGCAGTAAATGAAACGCAGTGCATTTGCTGTTCAGCCCGTCTGCGCAAATAGCATACTCTTGGAATAAGTAGGAAGCATAGTCATATTAACTTGGTGCACCAGTATTTCGTCATTGCGTCTAAAAATTTAGTTAAGTTTATGCGAGCTTAAATGTTACGTCAGTATTTACTGTGAAGTAAATGTCATCATCATCATAATCAGCTTCACCACGCCCGCTGCTAGGCAAAGGCCTCTCCCACGATCCGCCAGTCAACCCAGCCTTGTGCTTTCTGCTGCCAAGTTATACCTGCAAACATTTCAATCTCATCACCCGCCTACTTCTCTGTCTCCCCTTCATGCGTTTGCCCTCTCTGGCAATACAGTCAGTTACCAATAATGACCAGTGGTTATCCTGGCCACGTTCTACGTGCCCGGCCTGTGTTCATTTTTTGTTCTTGACTTCAACTATGATATCTTTAACTCCAGTTTGTTGCCTGACCCACTGTGCTCTCTTATTGTGCCACAAGGTTACACCTATCATTTTTCTTTCCGTCGCTCCCTGCGTCGTCCCTAATTTAAGCTGAACTCTTTTTGTGAGCCTCCACGTATTGTTAATTTTATTTTTGCAATATGGAGCTCTGCACTCCGAATCACAGAACTTGTACATAAACTCAGGGCTGTTCAGAGGGCCCACAACACGGTGATGAGGGTCGGTCTACCCGTCTCGACGTGGGAGCGGCCCGCTGCTCTGCCTCCTTGAATACCTCAATAAACCTATTGATTTCCTCAAGATCTCAACAAAGTTTTGTGTCTGTCTACGTTGAATTTGCATCTTAATAGCAATATTTGTATGAGTAAAAACATTGTTACTTCTCTATTAAGCATCTTAACAGCTATTATTGCATGTTTATAAGTAGTAGACTGTTACTTTTCCAGATATATATAATTGTGCTGTAAAATTAGGTGATAATATGCCTATCATTAACTATGCTTTTTTAATCAGAAACATTTTATTGCGGGTTTGTATTTAAATATTTGTGTTTCGTATTTTTATTACTGTCCTCTGTAATGTATGTTGGCCCTCAAGGTATCATAAATCCTTAAAAAATAATTTAGAGCTTCTTAGAGTACAATTACTATAAATACGACTTAAGGTTTCAACTTGCGACCTGAGGAAAACTTGAGCCACTATATAAAAGTTTTTTTGGGGGGGGGGGGGGGGCAGGGGGGCTGATTGATGCTTGTTAAACGCAATTTATGAGGCGCGAGCAACATCAAGACGAAAAATTGAGGGATCCTTAAGCTTCGCCTTTAGGAGTTGAACGCGATAGCGAAATCTGGCCCCTAGTGCACCTTTCAAATGCTAAGTGCATACTTATCCATATGTTTTGTTACATACGAACACACGCACACAGACACGCACACAGTAGTTTGTACCAGCGCACGCTAATATCGCCGAATGGGCTCGTTTTCGTCGTGACACCTGTCGAACAAAATGCCTTATAGGGGCCCTGAAACACTTCTTCAAGTAACCATGCATTGAATTCACTAGAGGAGCTTATTGCCTCACCAATTCAACACGGCAAAAATTTTAATGAATCCGTACAGTGCAAGTGGAGTTACAAAGGTTTGTCGCATACTGCAATTGCATTATCTCTACTCTAGTCCCGACGAAAGCGCTGGAAGCTCAACAGGGAGGGGGGAAAGGGGCAACGAAGCAACATCAACCGCACCTCGTGACCTTGAGCACTTTTTTTTGTTCGAATGCGTGGCTTTATCAGTGTGATTGCGCGCGCATAGATAAATGGATGTATCCGGCTGTGCCCTTTAGATCGGGCGTCATGCCACCTAGCCATAAAGTTAAGTACTATCACTGTGTGTTTAAGGATTGAGTTTCACTCACGCCTTGATTGTAGCCACCAATCAGTTAGCCTCCTCCTGGTTATTTCTACCGGTTTAAAGTCTATTATGCTTTCACTCTCCCTAAACCCCAATGCTTTGAAAAATTCGGCACCATTATCTTCGACAATAGGGTGGAGCCCTTTACAGAACAATATTAAATGTTTCAGCCGTCTCCTCCTCCTCTCCACACGCACTACATACGCGTGGACAAGTAGCGGCCTTCCACGGCTATCTCGGTAACTTGATTTTTTGGTCACAGACGCGCAGACGATTTCTCGCTCACAACCAACGGGGCCGACGCCTGCGGCGGGTTTTCTGCGACACGAGCTCTTTAACGCTATCGCTTTAAAAAGTGACATAAAAGAACGCCTGGGCGTTCGTTCGTGTTACTTCTCGTGGTTGTCTCGTAGGTGCACTATTCTTTCCATTGATCCACTATGCCCTCTCGTAGGCGAGACCTACGCTCGCTATCCGAGAAACATTTCTACAGCATTAGTACGTGGGCCACTTTACCACTCGCTTGCCTGACCTGCGACAGGCGTATGTTTCCAGCCGTCCACGCGATGACCCTCTGGCGGCCTGGCGGCTTGGAGCCCCTCTTGAGGTAGTTGAAGTCGCGCTTAGTAAGCAGGAGCCACGAGATGAGGAACGTGAGGGGACCGACGACCAGCGCCCGGCACACGTTCAGCGGAAAGCTGGAACCTCCGAAGCGAGGCTTCAGCTTCAGACTCGGACCCGGGTCGCAGAGGTGGTTGCAGAACAGCATCATCAACGACACACCGTCGCTGATCACCTGCGAGTTCGCGAGAGGAAAAAAGGTCGCACGTTGCTTCATGCCTGCCCGTGGTCCGCATATGGCTATGTTATTCAGGAATATATATATATGATATTAGTGCGGTCGTAAGCTACACAGGCTTGAATTGTCTAAAGCATTGTTTTCTGGAGGTACCCCATGTGGTCACCATGTGTGGAAGGATGGCTGCGAAACAAAAACAGTATTTCAGAACAGGCATCCATATTTAATTCATTTTGGATGTAGTTAAACACAAAAAAAAGCCACTGAAACGTAAAAAAAGAAAAAGAACTGAAAGGCAAAAGCAGAGACCGTGAACACAGAGGTAGAAATTAGTAGCCACTTCTGTGCTCACTGTGCCCGCTTCTGCCTCACAGTTTTACCCTTTTCCAAGTTTAAGTGTTCTTTTTCTTGTTTGAGTATGTGCCAACTTTTAACGTGAGATCAGTATTGAGATATTGCGCATAAATTCCTGACCGCAGATCTTCAGAAATTACCCGTGTATGAGATACGAAAAATGTTTTCGTTCCAGTCGTAGTGTTTACTTAGAACGTGTGTGAGTTAACCCCACTAATTTCCTCCCGTTTCCCTTTCTTCTCCCGGCTCTTACATTCTTCCCTGACCCAGCCTGTGCGGGACAAAATTGTGCAACTGTGGCTCGTTGCCGGAGAACAGCTTAAGACGCCTGCATTATGCATTTCCAAGCACGTTAGTAGGGACAAGGCAGCCTTTTTCTCTAGCTTCTGAGGTTTTATGTGCCTAATGTACTGATCCACTGAGGAGACCATGGTAGGCGCGCGTTGCTGCATGCTTAGGTAGGAAACACTGCGCGAATAGACAATGACGAAAGAAACTGGGCCCACGGTTGGTCCTCTGGCCTTCCTCCCCTTTGCCTCTTGTGAAAGATTCCTGAAACTAACACTGTTTCGTACTGGCTTTTGGATCTCAGCCATTGCACACTTTCTGAAACTGCCATGGTCTTACACTGAATCCGTAGTGCGTTAAAGAACCCCAGGTGACTGAAATTGCCGGAGCCCTCGACAACGGCGTCTCTCATGATTTTATGGTGGTTTTGGGACGTAAAACCCCGCATATCAATCAATTGAATTCGTGGTGGGCCCACTTTCAGCCTCGCGGCGATTCCGTGCAATAAAGTCGTCCTGTTCAATCAAAGCGTCATCAATCGCGATAACATCATCAATGGCGACATGATAGTTGAGGTCATGCCACTTTTGATACGTCGACCGTACAAGCACATTCACCTTAGCATGGCACGGCTTTTTACCCAGCTTTAAATTACTTCGTTTCAGGTGCAGAGCTTTCAATAGGCTGGGCGGTCCGTGTGCTGTCGACAGGTGTAGTATGCTGTCATGGTAGCTCGGCGTAACGCTCCATGTGCAGCATAATGAGCGCGCGCTCGCCCTGGCGAGAATTCATCTTCACGTTGCTCTATGAGTGCCTTGATGATGATAGGGAAGTGCAACTTCGCGTCAAAAAGTCTTCTCCCGGCTGTTCGTCCCAACATGAGCAACAACAACAAAAAATGAACTGGTGTGCTTGGCGTAACGTGGCCAAAGCCACGTATAAAAATGGAAAATAGAAGAGAAGAAAAGATTGAAATACGGAGCGAAATAAAGGAAAGAGTAGAAGGAAAAACAGAAAAAATCAGGAATCGATATAGAAAGAGGAAAAATAAACATACAGAATGAAAGAACGAAAGGAGCAAAGAAAAATGAAATCGAAGGCAAACAAAAAAGATGCCGCTTCCTTCAGTCTTAACACCCTCATAGTGCGCTGCTGCCTCAATTGTTTTTTCGTCATTCGAGTTCACGCCGGTGGCGAGGTCTCGTGAAGCTTCATAAGGGCCCAACAAACTTAGAACACTTCTTGACTCGTGAAACATTCAAGACCTTCGCCTTATTAAAACGAAAAAAAAAAAACATCATGCTTCAGCAGCACAGAATGTGCACCTTGACCTCTTCCCTAACACGCGTCAGCAGCGCATAATGTACCTCTCCACTAAGAGTCTAGATTACTGAAATAACGCAGCGAAAAGAACGCAGGTAGAAAAAGAAGGGCCATAAAGGGAAATAAATGGAGAAGTGGTAATATACAGGACAGTGCTCCCGTGGGACGCCGCGGGTGCCTGCATTATAGAGATAACATGTCGCATCCGCGGTAGCTATACGCGAGAGGGCTTATATGGCGTCTGCGTTTCGGACCGCGTGTTGGCGCTCTTAAATCCCTAAGCCCCCCCCCCCCCCCCCCCGCCTTCCTATGTTTACTAGGACGAGCGTGTCGACACCAGGCTTTCCTGGTGAGGACGACACCTGCACTTCGGTGGTAATGAAACGTAGGGGTCATTGCTTGCCGGAAGTAGGGCTCCTAAGCGTAAACAAACAAACAAAAAAAAACACTGTCGGCGCTTGTCGACCTCTTCGTGCTACTCAGTAACCTCGAAAATGACGCTGTTCTGCACAAAAAAAAGTCATGGCGACGTGAAATGGAAGCCGTACATGCCAGTGACGAACATAAGAGTAAAAAGCTACGGCCGCCTTACTGAGCTGCAGGAACACGGCAATAATCTTTCAAAGAACGTTACCGTATACAAGGTGTCACCTGCTCGCATAAAAATGAAATAAATTGGCAATGCTGTACTTTCTGCTACTATGTCACTAGGTGTGAATCCACGCTGGCGTTATGCTGAAGCTCCAAGGTCCAGATTCCGAAACAATCGTACGCTGGAATTTTTCATAGTAGAAACATTCTGCCAATCCTGATGTTTAACCTATATTTGCGAAGCATGCATAGGCTTGCCACTGGCAATGAGTACCGAAAATTAGAAGGAAAATTAGGCGAACTTTGTTTCGCAGTCTCGTCATGTATTTGCAATATTTTCGCATTGTGACGGCTAAGAAATTCAAATAAATACGCAATACAAATGCCTATGAAGCTTTCAAAAATACTCGTTTGCATCTATGTATGCCCATGAAGGCATCGTTTCCTCCGCCATCTTGTTGGTTTTGTAGGGAGGTGGGCCCGCATGAAGGGAGGTGGGCCCGCATGAAGGCCAGTATGAAAAAAATGGGACACTATACAGGACAAACAATTTATGCTACTCTTTCATTCAGTGGAATGTGCAAGCACTCTAATAAATCTGCACAGGAACTGAAAATTTTCATTCATGTAAAAGCCTACGAAAGCAGTGCGCCTTCGATACTTCATAAAGGCTACATCACCGCCATCATGTTGTTGTTGTTGTTTCCCTATAAACTCTGGTGCTACTCATTGTGGGGGATAGGCCGAGCATTGAGTGGTTTTGTAAAATAATATGGAGTTTTAGAATAATTTAGGGTATGTAATAAAAAAATTACCAATTACAGAGAAAATTATAGTGCTTGATTGAAAACATAGATCTAATAAAAACAGAAAAAAATGAATAGGGGCTAATAAAACAAAGCAATGACCTTATTTTTTATGCGTATATAATGGTATAGACACGTTAAAATAATATTGATTAGTTAGTCAACCGATTTATTTTTTTTGGTATAGTTCCTAACAGCCGTGCAAACGTTCGCACTCGAGAACCCAAAATTAGAGGCCCCAAAACGGAAAATGAGAGGCTCAATATTTACATTTCAATACCTCGTAAAGGTATTTCTAAAAGGCATTTTTCTTACTGCAGTAAACTACATGCAGGTCACAAAGAAATGCTCAACTGTTCCCAATTCACCACAGAGTGCTCGCAGTGGCAAAGTTGCCAGAGCGGGCCCGCGTTTATAGAAATTTACATTCGGTACCCGGCAGCGCAGCCTCGTCATAGCTACTTCTAGTTTACGGCTTTGACAGAAGGCTCTCTGCCAAGCAAATAATAAATGCCAATATTTTGCGGAGTTCGTCAGTGCAGTGTCTCCAGAGATTTACATAAACAACACCTTTCTTTACTCTCTCCTCCTATTCAACCTCATGTCCTTAGTCAATTTATTTTTATCTTCATCACCATTCTGTCGTGAATCGGTCGAATGTACTGAACACTATACTTCATACACATTGTGCAAGAGAAGCGGGGCATCACAGGTACTAATATGAAAAGTAATTAGCGTTGTGTGTAACCGCATAGAGTACTAATCGCAGGTCGGCAAAGTCACTCACGAGTCGGCCCAATCGAACTCACTCAGACACAGATCGATCCGCGGGTCTGAGCGAGTCCGGGTGAGTTATGTTTCGGTCAGTTTGAGTCCGAGTGAGTCCGGCGTAGGAAAAATTTCCTAAGCGTGAGACCGAGTGAGCCCTAACCTTAATATGTAATCCATGAAGAGTGAGCTCCGTGAGCTGCACAATATTTGCTGACCTATGGTGCTGATATTAGAAAACGAGGTTATATGTCAGTAAACCATGTAACGCAGGAAACGGGAAAGCCTCCAGAAGAAGCTACTTTTTTAAGGCAGTGCAACTACAGAAGATGGTTACGACATCAATGTGCGTTGCCTTCATAGGTGTACGGATTCGCGTACGCTATTCCTTCTTAGTACGTTTACCGAGATGTAGTTCTCAATAAACCATGCACGCAAGGATGCAAGATAATTGACTTATGTTGTTATTCAATGCGGCTGAACTGTTCTTCAGCCTGCCAAGTAGCACCGCATAGCAGTGAAGTGGGCTAACCACTGCTCCACCATTACATGACACCGCTGTTTCATCCAGTGACGTCGATAAGTGGCTGTGCAAGTGTTCATGCTCTGTCTGTTAGCTTACACACTGCAGATTTCACTGCAGCGACTTTCACTCATGATGAATGTTGCGTTGTCGGTGATGTTGCGTGTTTCGAGTACTGCACACATTGACAGTCGATGCTTTCGCATTGAGAAGAAAATGAGAGATTCGAGAAAATTTACGGAGAAATCACGCTGTTTTATAGACTTAGCTCGACAGTCTATCCTGCAGTAGACGCGTTATTGAAGAAGAGACAGGTGGAGGTGCAGCACCTGTTTCGGAAAAAGGCGTTCCCAAGATCTGTGGTGGGTTCCCTCGCATTCCCTCCCTCGAGGCGAGGGAGTCATTCCAGTCGTCAACTGACCATCGCCTTCAGGCAGAAGTGATTAACTCGGCCGAAACGGTCTTGGTAAGCTCATGGTCAACATCTTCAAAACACCGGCACGCTCAAATGCAACCTCCTTGTGGCAATAATAAAGTTGTTTTTATCTATCTATCTTGAAGTCTGTAATGACTAGCCACTGCGCACCGTAACTATATTAGGACAACTACGTACTTTGCAATAACCAGGCGGACTGGAGCCACATGGTATATGTGAATGCCGGCAAGCGTCCATGAGGGGTGAATTCCCAGACGGCAAAGGGTGGAAAGCCGCGTTTATCAGCTCCGATTCACAAATATACGTAGGCACGCTCCATATGGCCCGCGGAAGGAGCTATACCCAGCGGATCAAGGCCGACATCAACCGTTGATCTCCTTTTCTCTGAAAGGAAGAGGGGGATCTTTCTGCCAATTATATAATTTTTTTACTGCACGATAAGACTGACTTCTTTTTCATCATGGTTCACAAAACGTATAAACTGCACAATGTAACGACTCTATAGACAAGGAATATGAAAAAGCGTTTGTTTTTGTGTCTGGCCTGTGTCATTGTTAGTTCGAGCAGTTTATACGTCTTGTGAAAATTTTCGGTTGCGCTCGACCGCAGGTAATGCTAGTCAGCATAGATAACGTCAGTGTGTAGTCTATTGTAATCGAGTAAATCTGCAGAGCACCCCTTACCTGGTGCACTCTGGCGATGAGCACGGTCTCACGGCCCCTATCGTAGTTTGGCAACACGTGGACGTCCCACAGCGGCCGGTTGACGTTCATGCCGCGCGACATGAGCGCCATCAAGTAGTGACGCAGCTGGGCACTGTCCTTGACAGCGCGGTTGTCTTCCAGGACGTGGTTCTCGATGCGGAACGAGTCGTCCTCGACCCACGTGAATCCGCCCACGACGGGGATCACCTTTCGCGTGAACCTGCGACGAGTTCGGGGAAATCGTGAGAAGATGCATCGAAAGAGTGCCGCGGAGACAGGTGGAGCACTCTCTGCTCTACCGTACTGTGACGAGCGCTGAGTGACACCCTCCGCTATCGTTCAGATCAGCCTCTTGTTCATATCAGCTCAGTGCCGGTGCGAGTTGGCCAAAATACCAAATAAAAAGAGAGCTTACATAAAACGAATGAAACAGTTAATATAAGCGTCATATAAGGTGCAGTGCATATAAGGTTAAACTCGGAGTGGTTTATATGTGTAAATTAGTCTAATTAGTAAATAATTCTCAGAGAGTCGTCCTCAACGCACATTAATACACCCACAACGGGGATTATCTTGCGTGTGAACCTGCGATGAGCTTGGGGAGAATAGTGAGAACATGCTTCGAAGAATATGATTGAGATAGAAGAACATTCTCCGTTCTACCTTATACTTTGACGAGACCGAGTAACACCCTTCACTATTTATTGTTCAGATCAGCCTGTGTAGCACCAATGTGAGTTGTGCGAAATGTGCGGTAAATAAAAATGAACCACAAATTGAAACGAAAACAACGAGTTAACCTAGTGGTTTTATAAGGTAGAAAGGATATTCAGGTATGTCTCATGTTGAAATTTGAATCGTGTGATTAAAAGAAACTAGTGTAACTAACAATTACTTCTCACGGAGGCTGCGGAACAAACTTTACTGAAACGAGAGTGCGCATGGGAGAGCCACCCTGAAGAGTGATGAATTGGGATCCAGGGAGCTGCACCTTTGTTACAGACCGGTGGCAGTAAGTTCCTTCGCCAAACGTCTAGGAGAGGTGCTCAAGTAGCGCTAACTTGCATATATAATTACATCTCGAAAACCTATTAGTTGGGGCTCGTTGCGCTATTTGGTGGATCAGATCTCATCAACGTGCTTCTTTCTACGTGGCTTTAACAGAGAGAGAAACGTGACTACCGGAAACGTATACGTAAAAAGGATGAAAGCGGCAGCAGTGTTACTCCCAGACTATTGAGCCTGGCATTATTTTAACCTCTGGTTATTATTTTTCATGGAATTGGATTAGGTTACATGACGCGATTCCGGCACTTTTTGTCTCTTTATTTTATAAAGCACAGCGAAGGCATAGCCCACCTTCAAACAAGTCAACTGACAACGATGCCAGAAAAGTCCATAGCAGACATTTAGCGGCCAAAATAGGGGCGAAAATATGCAAGATGAAAAAGGAAAATCGTCCCTTGGCGTAGCCACCGAAAGAAGGGCGACAGGAAAAGTCAGCCAATGAACGGCCATTTCTAGAGGAGCCCAGCTGCGTGCAATTCATGTCACGGTGTCATGCTCATTTATAATAATATATTTCGCTACACGCATACTCGATGTGTGATAAAGTTTCAGTTGAAAATTCAGCGTTTGTCCACGTCGTTCATTTCCTTTAGCTACATGCCTGTCTGATGAAGCCATGCTATTTTTGTTTTATCGATTTTACGTCCCACCTCACTTCGGCGTATTATGATGAAGTTCCTAAAAGGCGTTCTTAAGCAGAGCCGACTTATTGTAGTTGCAGCTGTTTCATCATCACTGTATGTAAATATTGGCAGATCCCACGTACAGTGCAAATCAATGATATACAAAGCACGAATGAGAAATGTTGATATGTCACTTTAAAATTACCACAATGTTACGAGGTGGAAGTAAATTATGCCGCACATCACTTCCGTATCATGATTATCATGTTGGGATGCGTTGTTTACCTTCGTCATTTATTCACGTCACGTGCTACCAAATTTAGTATATGTCGAGCTACCGAAACGGCCGCGAGCACTCTATGAGCATGGTATGTTGTCAAGTTCTTACATGACACACTTGTGAAGTTATCATGTTTGCACCAGTCATATATTTCGTCATCCATCGACGTCACGTCACAACAAATTTGGTATATGTGGAGCTAGCAAAACAGCCGCGAGCGCATCATGAAGGACCCAATATACTCCAACGTAGCGTTGACGCGCGCGCACGCAGGGCACAGCGACGCAACGTTCACAAAACGCGAACACTCCATAGTCTGACGCCAGGCGCGACCAGCGTCCGTCAGCGTGGCCGGACAGTAACTGGCGCGAAATGCGACATGCTGCATTTCGCGCCAATGCGCTCCCTTCTTTCGTGACGGAGGAGCGCTGGGCGCGCTGAAACGCGAATGCGTCACAGCAACGCGGCGCGCGCCTGCGAGTATACTGCACGACCGGCGCCTGGCGTGGCAACGCCGGCGTGACGCGACGAAAGGAACGCCAGCGAGCACGCGCACCGCATCACGTCGAAATGTATTGGCGTCTTGACTTTGGCATGTAGTCATGTTCTCACATGACACGCATTTCATGATTATCTTGCTTGCACCTGTTACATACCTTCGTCATCCATTGGCGTCATGTAATACCGAAATTGGCATATGAGAAGCTTGCGAAACGGCCGCGAGCGCATCATTAGTGTGGTATGTAGTCATGTTGTTACATGACACGCATGTCACAATTATCATGTTTGGATGTGTCATTTACCTATGTCGTTCGTTCGCGTCGCGTGATACTGAGTTTGGTACATGTGAAGATTGCGAAACGGCCACGAGCACATCATGAGCGTAGCATGTAGTCATGTTGTTACATGACACGCATCTCATGTTTATCATGTTAGCACCAGTATCATACCTTCGTCATCCATTCACGTCCCGTAATACCAAATTTGGTACACGTGAAACTAGCGAAACGGCCACCAGCGCATCATTAGCATGGCATGTAATCATGTTGTTACATGACACGGATTTCATGATTATCATATTTGCACTAGTTGCATACCTTCGTCATCCATTCACCTACTGTAATGCCAAATTTGGTATATATTGTCACGCACCCAGAGCCGTAGAGACAAGACGGGCACAGCGGGGCAGAAAGACACGAGCGTGTATCTTCAAACGAGGCGCTAATTACACTACTTCTTCAAACTCTTTGCCCTTTTTTGCTCGCTAGGGCTTGCCGGCTCACAACCCTAGGTGGCAATATGACGCTAGCGAAACGGCTGCGAGCACATCATGAGCGTGGCATGTAGTCATGTTGTCACATGACACGCATGTCATTATTTTAATGTTAGGGTCTGTAGCTTGCGTTCGCCATGCAATCATGCCATGCCATACCAGTTTTACAACATGCCATGTGAACGAAACCACCGCAAGGGCTTTAGGACCATGATATTTAAATCATGACATTCATGACATGAATGTCATAGCTTTCATGTTGTAACTAGTCAAATATGTTCATACAGTCATGTTATACCATACCAAGTTTGGTATCGATACCACTATCTAAACAGCCAGGAAAGCTAAAAGTCGTAGGCGGATAGATAGATAGATAGATAGATAGATAGATAGATAGATAGATAGATAGATAGATAGATAGATAGATAGATACGCTCAAAGACACCTTAGTTCGCTAAAAAGGCTTCACATTAAAGAAAAAGTAAACGAGAGTGGGCGCCACTGTTTCTTCGTCAAGCGGAGCGGAAATCACTGGCACGAATTTTTACAGGTTTAAATTACCGCTTTTAAATGGTGTAACTGGTGAGTTGTTCTTTTGCTCATGTGGACAGTATTCGTTTGGAACCTTGGTTAATTGAAGTTTTACAGCGTTTATCAATAGTCATCCTGGGCAGTTCATTTTTTTATATATTCTCTACAAGAAGCCGGAAGAAACGCCACCGTGGTCATGACTTCGTTTCCAAATTTCAAGGCTTAAAACACAACTGTTTCACGAACGGTTTCTCTTCACCTGCTGCCGGTGCATTATGGACACAGTTCCACTCTCATCGCTTAAAAGGAAGAACATCAGCGCCAAGTACTGCCAACCGTGCTACACTAAAGGGGTTTGAGCTCACTTAGCTAAGCTGTAAACGAGGTAATTTGCACGATTATGCAGATGTCACGCTTCGCAAGCTCGGCAGAAAGTTGTGCTTAGAATAACGCCAGCAGCAGCGCATGCGGAACAGCGGATGAGCCGCTTCTGTTTTGATAACCCTGTTCGGAATATTATGCAAATAAGAAAGTGAAGGAAGATTCTTGCCGACGCATCACAGCGAAGCTGACTTGGTATTCTGAAAAACTGAAAAAGGTGAGACCGAGCCTGATGTATTGCAGAGGAGTGCCCAACAGCCTTTACTACAAACTCGGATCAATACTTGCTTAGTTGAGAAAACGAGTAGTATTATAAATACTGCTGTCATAAAACGCATTCTTCTTAAAAGGCCCCTAAACTGCTCCGTAATCAGAGACGAAGAGGTGGTTTCTTTCTCCTTCTCGATCCTTTTTGCACGCGTTGGCTGCACGTCGCCACTTATTTCCTCATAAAGCACGTGTACAACGCCAGCAATAAGCGCTAAGCCTATCGGCATTTCTGCTTGTCGGCTCACACGCCGTTATGTCCCTCTGCGCAGTCAGAAGCAGAGAAATGAATAAAATAAAATCAGTTGATCGCGCGCCATAGTCACGCGAGAAAAGGAAGAGTACGTGGGCGACTATATGTTGGAAGCTGGGTAGGAGACCATTACCAATCGATGTTCCTCGTATATGTGAAGCAATCGGGAGCACGAAACCGACGTCCCGTGATTCGCCATCCTGGCATCGCAAAGCGTGGCGAAAATACGAGAAATATCAGAGGAGGTCAACGCGCTCGTTTTTGGCGTTTTGCAAGGTTGCTTCGGGGTCATTTTATGGACACTTCGTAGCAAAAAACAAAATAACAGCATATTCATGGAACCTGAGTGCAACAAAGCGTCCGTCTGTGCGTCTGTCCGTCCGTCCGTCGGTCCGTCTTGCCTGTCCATCCGTCCGTCCGTCCGTTCGTCCGTCTGTCTGTCTGTCTGTCTGTCTGTCTGTCTGTCTGTCTGTCTGTCTGTCCGTCGGTCAGTCTGTCTGTCTGATGACGGGCGCGAGCAACCACCGCTATCCGCGTCCAGAGC